TCAAACAGCACGATGAATCAGCCTGCATCTGAAGAAAAACTGAATGAAAAACATTCGGTTTTAATGTTTCTGCTTTATGAAGGCCGAGAAAGAAAAGACTAACAGGTTGTAATCAATGGAGTTCACTTTACATCTATGTTTGGGTCAAAAATAGTTTATTCATTTGCCAAGACTGGAATAGGCTGGTTGTGAGGTTTACATGATGTTGAGGGAAACATGATGGAATTTATAGCACATTCTAACACAAAGTAGTTGTATGTATTACAGCTGAAAGTTTAGCATTGAACTGAGTATATTAAAGGCATTATAAACATGGTGCCGTGTAATTGGTGCACAATAGAATGAGTACCCACTTACATTTATATATATAAGTGATATTTAAATACAGACTTCTGTTTAGTACAGACATACAGTATAAACTGGTGATAAAAGTCAAGCAACTTTTGTATATTTTAGAGCATTGCTGTATTCAACAAAATGTATTCAAAATGCAAGATATCAAAAGATGCATATTGAATTTAACAGTTCACAAAGCAAAGACAAAAGCAGAACACAAAAAAATGAGTTCATAGGTATGTTTGAAAATATCAATAATTTTAACTAGGTACCACTTGAAAAATGTTTGAACTACAGCCATGCAGAGAAAAGATATATCCCCTTAAAATATAACCTTTGTACTCTTGTGTAGTCATCTTGTTTTTGTTGTGTCTTGGGAACATACTTAAAAGAGATGTGAGGATAATATTATACACACTTCATGCCGAGTTTCAAGAAAATGGGTTTAATAGGTATTAAATTATCTCATACATGGACCTTTACAAACCGAGCCCCTCAACTCTTCTCATAGTTCTGGAAAGCTGGACAGTTTCTGCCTTCTGTTTTGTCCAAGACCTAAAGATATAAGTTATTGCCTCAATAACTGTGGCCTTAGAGACATCCTAGAGAGGAAGAACAAGATTTATACCATGGATTAAATTGCTATATTTTAAAATAAAATATAGTAAAATAACTGTTTTACTAACAAGATGGCAAAGAGTAGAATTAACCCAACTAGTTACAGTAGTTAGGATCACAGTCATTGGTCAGAAGATGAAAGACTGGAATCATGTTAAAATCCAATTGCAAAGACATTTTGCAGACAGATGTTTGAGGACCTTTCAATATTAAGCTCGTCACTGTGACAGATTCTCTTGAATTGGTAATGGCTGGGCATCCTTTACTTGTTTAATCATAAAGAAACGTAAGCCTAAGGTCAGAAAGTCATGTCACATCTCAAAAACAATGGAACAAGTAAAGGTTAATTCCATGCTGAAAAATAGAAAGAAATAAAAATGGTACATCATTCCTTTTTTTTAACAACCAAAATGTTCTTTCAGAGCACAGATAATCTTTACTTGTTCCTTTGCAGCCACCGCATGCTGACACAGCTTCCTACTTTAATTTCAGAATTACTGTAGTATCTCAGGGCTATCCAACACAGGTGTAATGTGAAATTAATCTGACGGCATTCCTGTCACAGAATGCCAATTTTTTGATAAATTAAATGTGGCGCCTTGATTGTTTTTTCATCTGAACGGGTCTGGTCAAATTGAATGTAAATTTATGGCAGTCAAAAAAAAAAGCCTGGCCCTAAAATATTGCCAGCTGTTTGGGTAAACAAGAGAGGATAGAAAAATAGGGAATAGAAATTCACGGTAAAGAAATATGTTCATACATTTTGTACTTCTATCTTTAAGCAACAAATTCAGACAACATTTCCCAGTACATTGACTGCTGCTATGAAATGTACATTTGCTGCATGTTAGGGAAGCATAAAGAGATGCTTATTCCTTATGTAGTAGGTCACATTTTACCAAAGCTTCTACCGGTATTGTAAGAAAAATCCCATTCCATCAACAGTCTTGGAAGTCAAGCTTACTTTTCTGAAAGTAAGCTTCAAAATATACATGAGCATCAACCCTCTATGTAAGCAAACACTAATTCTCCACTGTCACTCCTTTGTCTAAGCTCTAGAGCCGATCGGTTTCCAACACCTGCTCTGCCAGCCATCTTTTATGTTTTCAATTAATTTTTAAATTCACAATCATTCTAATTTGGCAGTTCAGCAGTTTCAGTGGGTGGCAGAATACGCACTTTTGTAAAAATTATCCAAACTGGACACTCCTTCACAGTATTCCTCTTCAGATGGGTTAATTATTTTGACGTTAGTTTTTTTGTGCCATATTAATAGGCAGTCCACCAGACTGAAGGGAAAGCTGGAAACTGTTTACAGTATGATGGCAACAAACCATGGTATTGCTGTTTTTCTGTAATTTTTACACATTTTTTTAAATAATAAAACACAGTGTCTTGCATAGGAATAACATAGCATGTTTTAAAGATTAGGTTCTCCTTTTGGTCTGTAGGCATTGATGTTACATATTTGGACAGGGGGCTAGTTTTTAATGGGTGCACAAAACAAACTTCCAGAAATCCTGTAATATTTTTTGAGGCAAAGTCCTTATGGATTCCTTTACATATTCTGCAGGATTCCCTAAGGAATAGGAGAATAAGAATAAAACCTGGTTATGTACTTGCAGAAATCCCTGAGGGTTTTGGTCTTAGAACCCCACACGATTTCTGCAGGTGTCCTACATTTCTTCTGCTGTTGCCATTTATT